GAGCTGCCCTGCGATATTTTCCCGTGAAGTGGCAATGGTCCCGATGTTTCACTGCTTTTTCGGTGAATGCCCTGNTTGTATTGAATCATTCCACTCCACCGTTCATCGGAGCACATCGGGGGATCTGGATGAGCCTAAACGAGGACTGGGATGAGATGCAAGAATTTAGATGCTGAAATTGGGTCTCGGAGCAACGGTTCTGCAGAGTCTGGGGTGGATCTGGAGTTTGAATATCCCCGCCGGTTGAGGAGTACGCAGGTTGGCCGTGTCGCGGCGCCAGCTACTGGAGCCAGAATTGGAGAGCTCGAGCGCCGAATGAATCTAGGCGAAAATAATATTTTCGGTCCATTGTTAAAGGACCCGAAACATAAATTAATGGTTATTTATCATTATGCGGTTTGTGAGTAGTTGGAACTACATTTTTATCGCTTGGTTTTATCCCTGTGGATTTGGAGGGAAAATTAGAAATCACGCGGTTGTCCGGTGTGGATTCCGGTGGAGAGAGAGTTGACGTCGTCATCACTCTCCAATCAAAAGTCTCTTCGCTGAAAGTAACAGCCAATGAGAGGGCTGGATTTTCGGCAATCGAGAAAATGTGCCATTGAGCGTGCCGAGGAGATTACTTCTCATTTGGATGGCGAGACTGACAGCTCGCAAGTTTTTCGTGACTTCTCGAAACTATTACCGTGTCCCGACGCCCGAATTCTCGTTGTCTCAGGCATCTTTCGTTAACGTTTTATTGGGAGCCTTAACTTTCCCCGGAGAATTTGTTGCTGAGACTTCTTCAGTTCTGGTGAGCGGTGGATCTAATTAATCATTAATTTATTGATTGTATTAGAGAGCGGGATCTCGTTAAATTAGCTTCCTTTTGGACAAACGGTTTTCGTCCATAGCGAATGACGCCATTAGATTTTTGGCTCTCGGATTTTGACGAGATCTGGCTTCTCGCTCAGTGGAGCATTCTAACGGTTTCGGGAGAAATTCAGTGAACCTCTTATTGTATCAATTTACGAGTTTTTGAAATATTTATATCGGATTCTTCCGATTGAAATTCAGTGTTTCAAATATTTGTCATATGTAGCACCTCTCGTGTCGCATTCACTTTGGAAAAATTCGGATATCCAAAGTGGAATTCTCGGGGCAATGTTTCAGCTTCAGGGAATTTTCGCATTATCGCTGTTAGTATCTTACTTTATTTATTTAATTTAGAATTTTGGCATTACCGAACAGTGTAGGAATTATCGACGTGATTTGGAATTACAGCGTCTTTGTCGATGCTTGATTTCCGTATTTTTGTATCGTGTAGCCGTGACCTTGCGTTAGGCAGATTCACCGGCTCTGGTAATGGTTATTAGTATTTTTCGTGGTAATCCGAATCGCGTCATTTGAGAATCAGACGACATTTTGGATTATTTTTCTCGCAACAGTTTCGTTGTTCTTCTTATCGATTCCTTTGTCGTGACATTCGACCTTGCTGTAACCCGGTTAGTTACTTTATTTTTTTTTGACTTCTTGATAGATTTTCCCATTTATTGACTTTATTTAAATTATCTCTGACTAACATTTTATTAATTGACGGATGACGTTGAGGGAACTGATTTTATATCGAGTCATTAGATCGGTTTATGAATTTTGTGATTTTCTGATTGTGATTTAGAGCATAACGGAAAGAGAAATAATTTGAGAATAACGGGGTTTAATTAATTAGATAACTGATTTACATTTTGATACTGGAATTTTCTAGAAACTGATTGAATAATATTTCTCCCCGAAAGTCTGAATCTTCTTATTATTTATTAGTAATAAGGAACCCAGTCATTTCAGAGTAATTTTTATTGAGAGCGGATTTTGTGGAACCCAGCCGCATCCACGGTTGATCTGAGCTGTCGGCGATCGCTCTCTCTCTTCGTTGTTTGTTTTATCGCTCATTTGATTTCGTCTTCGATTTGGGTGAACGTTTCAGACGTTCTGGCGCCCAACTTTTGGTTTGTCGTTTGGGTCGCTGAGGGCTGAGTATCTATTATCTTCCGCAGGGATAAGAAATACGTCACAATACATACATATGTGGGTGTGCCTACGCTTGTATACTCTGTGAAATCTTACGTGATTGGCTGAAAAAGAATCATGTCACTCATGGAAAATTATTAACAAAATAGCAACATTTTTTGTTCGTGGGAAAAAAAATAGCTGAAAAATGTCCAGGATAACATTTAATCTTTGCGGCGCGATAGGACATCAAAGGGTCCGAAAACTCTGCTCCAGTTTGTCAAACATCATGTTCTTAGGGTTATGAGTACAACGTGCGTTCCCAGGTGAATCGAAAACGTCTATGTAAACAAAAGATTGCGTTCGGACATCTTCCAATTTATTTTCATCCTTCTGTGAAATCTTACGTGATTGGTTGAAAAAGAATCATGTGACTCATGGAAAATTATTAAGAAAATAGCAACATTTTTTGTTCGTGGGAAAAAAAAATAGTTGAAAAATGTCCAGAATAACATTTAATCTTTGCGGCGCGATAGGACATCAAAGGGTCCGAAAACTCTGCTCCAATTTGTCAAACATCATATTCTTAGGGTTGTGAGTACAACATACGTTCCCAGGTAAACCGAAAAAGTCTATGTAAACAAAAGATTGCGTTCGGACATCTTCCAATTTATTTTCATCCTTCTGTGAAATCTTACGTGATTGGTTGAAAAAGAATCATGTGACTCATGGAAAATTATTAAGAAAATAGCAACATTTTTTGTTCGTGGGAAAAAAAAATAGTTGAAAAATGTCCAGAATAACATTTAATCTTTGCGGCGCGATAGGACATCAAAGGGTCCGAAAACTCTGCTCCAATTTGTCAAACATCATATTCTTAGGGTTGTGAGTACAACATACGTTCCCAGGTAAACCGAAAAAGTCTATGTAAACAAAANAGATTGCGTTCGGACATCTTCCAATGCATTTCCATTCTTATCAATTTGCAGCAGATGGAGATTTTTCGGAAACTCCTCCTACTACAACGTGTAAAATTTGTCGAGGACTATGTCAAATTGGTGGGGGTACCTAAGTTTTAGAATGACTGATCCTCTGCCTTTGCAGATATACATACTCCCTCCCCTTCTGAACTCTTCTTTTTAAAATAAATATTTACATATTGATATCGTTATCAACAACAATTTCACACGAAGGGGGAGCGGTAGATGAGAAAGTACGGGAAATCTCAAGTTCAGACATGTGACTGGAAAATGTTTTTTTAAATAAATATTTATATATTGATATCGTTATCAACAACAATTTCACACGAGGGGGGGGCAAACGAGAAAGTATCGGGAAACTCAAGTTGAGACCTGTCAAGTGGAGCCAGGTGTCAATGTTTGAAGAAGAAGAGGAGCCCCTTCTATGATTTCTACAGCAGCGAATTAGTTAACCCTTTCACTCACCCCCTCGCAGGGTGGATTGAGTAGTTCCACCGAGAAGGTCCTTTATAACGCAAAACCGCGAATTAAATTGATTAACCAGCGAATTAAATAACCCTTTCATCACTTCGAGGGAAAAATCGGGAATTAATTAATCAAACTGCGAATTAAACCGCGACCCCGCGAATCAAACCGCGAATTAATTAACCCTTTCATCACTTCGAGGGAAGGAATTGCGAATTAATTAATCAAACCGCGAATCAAACTGCGAATTAAGCCGCGAATTAAACCGCGACCCCGCGACGTAATTAACCCTTTCATCACTTCGATGGAAGAAATTGCGAATTAATTAATCAAACCGCGAATTGAACCGCGACTCCGCGAATCAAACCGCGAATTAATTAACCCTTTCATCACTTCGAGGGGAAACATCGTGAATTATTTAATCAAACCGCGAATTAAACCGCGAATTAATTAACCCTTTCGTCACTTCGAGGGAAAAACCGCGAATTAATTAATCAAACCGCGAATCAAACCGCGAATCAAACTGCGACCCCGCGAATCAAACCGCGAATTGAACCGCGAACCCACGCATTAATGAACCACCCACCCACCCACTTTCATCTGACCCCCCTACTGGGCCCCAACGATCAGGTCGACGCCAAAAACGTTGTGGCAGAACCCGTATTATTACACTACTAAAATCAACCGACGGATTCGTGATCAGCGACCCAAAAAACATAGAATCCACTAACATTGACAACGCGACCTAACAGTTTACATAGGACTGTCGTGGGGGGCAACGACTATCAGTATTACAACGGGCTCTATCTCCGTAAATAATGGAGATTAGGCCAAAGACCAAAAAATCAAAAGTGTGTATTTTTTATGAGGGATCAACTATTATGCGATATTTTTTCCTGTATCTCCAATTGTTTACCCGTAAAACAACAGTAAACGAAAGCGTTCTGGGTAATTTGCCCGATCACGCAGCATGATGGCGTCAATATCTCATCAACTGCTGGTTGCAGGAAAAAATTTCAAAAAAAAAATTATATGGGAAATTTGATTGCAAATATTTTTCATTCCAACTATTTTTCTCCATCTGCATCGAGTGTCCCGATATACGCATCGGAGCGCGCCAACACCCTGCGCGAGTACTCACGCGGCGCCTGCTCCGCTGCAACCCCCATAACTCGGTATCTATCATAGTTAGGGGGAAAAGGTATAAAACAACAAATGAGTATTTTTACATATCAAATATCTTTTGTTTGCACATTTTTCCGATATCTATCATAGTTTGCCAGATAAAGCCTTTTAAACAATTAAAATTGTTAATGACAATTGAAGGGACAATTTTTCGGAAAAGTAAGCGATAGATTCGTGATCAGCGACCCAAAAAACATAAAACCCACTGACATTCTCGACGCGACCTAACAATTTTACAGGACTGTCCTGGGCGTAAGTACTAAGGCGAGTAATGCGGAAGAAGAAACAATTCATGATCGATAATTTTACTCTCTCATTTATCGAAATGATTGAATATATAGGGGTTGAGGGNTTGATAATTGGAAGTCAAATAAATCTGAAATGTCACATATGAAAGCGAGCCACGAGCTTTCCAGCGGGTTTCTACAAAAATATAATAAAGACATGACAATTTTAGAGTCAAAATGTTATTGATGAAGACGAAGGAATGGGACGGCTAAATAGGAAAGAAATAACGGAGACGATTTTTCGTTGTATGGACGTTTTTTATTGTCGTTCTTACAGGAGGACATCCTCTGTCGCCGTACCTTCCCCCATACCCTCCTCCTCCTCTCCCTCCCCCTCGACGGCCACCAGCATATCCTGGGTATCTATCACCCCCTCCCCAGTATTTTCTCCCTCTCTTCTTCTCCTTCTTCTTCCTTTCTGCTTCCTCCCTCTCCCTTGCCTCTATTTCTCGTTCCACTCTCTCTCTTGCCTCTCTCTCTCTTGCTTCTCTTTGCAGTTGGAGCTCCTGAAGGATCTCCCGCATGACTGCCCTTTCTGGAACATCCTCCGGTTGTCCTTCAGGAACTGGGATTGCTCCACGTGCTGGAGGTATCTCTGACTGTAGGGGGTCTCCATCTGCTGGAGGGACTCTACGTCCTGGTACCGCTGGTTGTGGAGCAACTCTAGCTCCTTCTGCAGCAGGATCTGATGGCGGAAATCCGATCTAAAAAAAATAAGGAATCGGTTGAAAAGAGTCCTCTTTCGAGAGAATTCAGGTATTTTCTGTAAATTTCAAGGGGATTTCAGGAGTTCCTCGAAATTTAGAGGTCATCCACGCAATTTCTAGAAATTTGATGCTAATTCAAAACATTTCTAGAAGTCTCCAGGGAATTCATGGAGTGTGGAGAAGATTCAAATGAATTCAACAGAAATCGAGAAATTCCGAGGAAATTCTCGGGATTGTGTGAACTTACGAAAGAGTTCAAGGTGTCTCTAGAACTTTTCCGAGAATCCCAGAAATTTATGAAAATTCTGAAATAATTGAAAAGATTTCTACAAATTTCCAGGCAGTTGGAGAAGTTCCTTGATATTTTGATGAAATTCAGGGCATTCTAGTCATTTCCAGTGAATTCGGGGAAATTCGAAGTCAATCCTAGTGATTTCTGATAATTTCGAGGAAATTTCAACGGATTTCCAGTAATTTGGAGAGTAACCAGGGCGTTTCTAGAACTTGCGAGGAAAGTCAGGGAGTTTTAAAACGTTTTGGGGGAACTTTAGCCATTCCGATGAATTGGAAGAAAGAATCCAGCAATTTGCTGTAATTTCAAAGCAATAGAATGGAATTCCTACTAGAAAATTTGNGAGTAACCAGGGCGTTTCTAGAACTTGCGAGGAAAGTCAGGGAGTTTTGAGAAGTTTTGGGGGAACTTTAGACATTCCGATGAATTGGGAGAAAGAATCCAGCAATTTGCTGCAATTTCAAACCAATAGAACGGATTCTTAGGAATTCCTAGGAAATTTGGAGAGAAATTAGGGTGTTTCTTGAATTTTCCAGGGAATTCAGGGAATTTCGAGGGTTTCAAGAAGTGCAGCACATTCTAAGAATTGCAAGAAGTTTCTCGAAAATTCGAGTGAACTAGNTTCCAGTGAATTCGGGGAAATTCGAAGTCAATCCTAGTGATTTCTGATAATTTCGAGGAAATTTCAACGGATTTCCAGTAATTTGGAGAGTAACCAGGGCGTTTCTAGAACTTGCGAGGAAAGTCAGGGAGTTTTAAAAAGTTTTGGGAGAACGTTAGCCATTCCGATGAATTGGGAGAAAGAATCCAGCAATTTGCTGTAATTTCAAAGCAATCGAATGGATTCTTAGGAATTCCTAGGAAATTTGGAGAGAAATTAGGGTGTTTCTTGAATTGTCCAGGGAATTCAGGAAATATCGAGGGTTTCAAGAAGTGCAGCACATTCTAAGAATTGCAAGAAGTTTCTCGGAAATTCCAGGGAACTAGAGAACTTACTAGAACTTTGAAGGAAATTCAGAGAGTTACTAGAAATATCTAGGAAATTCAAGGACTTTCGGTTTGAGATCTCCAAATCTGATAGGTACTCACATTCCTCAGTTGCTCCAGCACTTGCTGCTGGATGAGCTGCTGGATGTTTGGGGCCGATACCGGAGGTCTCCTCAAATTGACCCCATCTCCATCATCTTGAGGCTGCTGGTGGTCTTCTAAAATACGAATAAAATATTACCATGGACTTCCTTCCTACTGTTTAAAAAAAAATAGCCATTCGAGTGAAATAGTTGATGTCATGTTACCCTCTGGGGCGTTTTCACGAGCTCCACGATCGTAGATGTAATGAATCAAAAAATTGACGCGTCATTTATTTCCATAAATCCTTCTCAATATTCGTTTTCACATACTTCCTTTCCTCCTTCTCTCATAGTCATCTCGTTTTCCTGCTGTTGATCAGAATCTCACGCAGACATTATTTTCATAATATTTTTCTCCAACTTTCCCTCTACCATGGAATCCATTAGGGTTAGAGGAGTCACGATTATATTTGATCAACTTCGTAAAACTATTTCATTTGTCAAAAAACCTTTTTTATTGTCAGTTTATCTATGCTCCATTATAAATTTACAAATTTAGGTTTTCCTTCTTAACGAATCCTCTTTGCTGAATGGAAAATTCATTGTGATGCTACACTACCTCAACAATTGAGCGAGCCAATGAATTTTTGAACAGCCGGTAGTTGGCTGCGTCGCTTGTCTGCGCGTTGAAATGACATTGTACTGTATGGCAAGCCGTCAAATCAAGAATTAGAGGGCNGGCGTTTGCAATCGACACACAAGCACCGCCTTCGCTGAATCTCACTCACCACACACCGTGATGTAAAGTAAATGTGAAGTGTTTAGGTTTACGCACAAGAATTTTCTTTACGTACGACCTTTGCACTTGACGTACGTTGTGTTAAAAATGAATACATTATACGCACTAAGTCGCGCTGTAAAGAGATGTTCTCAGATAGGCATTTCAAAACCATTCTTGGAATATCTAGGAATCCATCAGACAGGCGTCAGGGGGAGAGGGGAGAAAAAATGAGTTGAAGACATTTTGCAGTTGATTGGCAATGGGGGGGGGGAGGTAGGAAAAAAGGTCTCATGATTTTCACTCTTATATTGTACAGATTCCAATATCTTCTGCGAAATGAATTTCTACAATTATTGACCTGATCCTGTTTTCACCTTTTTTTTGTTACAATTTCCTTTCAATGCTCAGCATCCACATGGGGGGCATAAAATTCACGACATGTTTTCTAGAGGGGAATGTCAACTGCGAAGATAAAACTGTACGTATTTGTCACTTTATTCTGTATACTGAGATAGAACGAAGATTCTAAAAATTAGACTAGGGTGCTGCCACACTTGCTGGCTTTGCTGCAAAATTGCAGAATATTCTCAGGAACTCCCTCAAATTACAAAATAAGTTTCGACCCATCCCAACAAGGGCAAAATGATTACAGGGGGTGGAAACGCAGCATTTCCCATTGTTTCTCGTAAAAAAAACATTGAACCGCAGGGGTCGCAACCTAGGTGAATTTCTCATCTGAAAAATATTGACTGGCACTCCATTGAACACCCTCTCTTTTAGAAAATCTTTATGGGAAATCTCCTCAGGCCCACCCTAGAACCCCCCAAAAAGATACGAACCATGCCAATAAGGGCACAGAGGTACTCGGGGGTGAAATAATTTTTTTTTCATATTTTGAAGTAAAAAAAAAATCATATAGAAGGGGTCGGAACGTACATAAATTGTCGGTTCGCTCGAATCGCCTTTGCTGTACTTCGGATGAATTGACACGTTTTCGGAGGTTTGAGGGGGTGTCTGAAAAGAGTTTGCAGATAACAAATTTACCGAGACTCTGACCCCAAAAGTAAAGTTTTGTTTTCCTGTCGGGAAAAAAAAGACAAAATTTAGAGTTTTCACCCTCAAGCCTCTGTTTGCCCTACATTGAATGAGATGAATGTTTTTTTCAGTCGGAAAATATGATGGAATAATTGGAATTATTCGATCTATTCGATTCGATTCGCTCACTATTCGCACGCCCCTAATAAATTCAAGTACATTCCAACCCTTGAAGTGTGAATATCTTTTGTGAGACAAAATTAAGAAATTGGGAATTTCACCTCTACGCTTTCCTTTTTTTCACTCCAAGAAGTGAATATTTTGCATGAGGTCTGTAAAAGTATGTTTCTTAGTAGAGGAATTTGACAGTCGGTATCCATTTATTTCCATGGTACAGAAATTCTGGGGCCGTCTGAACTTTCGTCTGCTGGATGTTCTGCTAGGTTCAGCGTCATCTCATATGACTGTCATATGACCCTGATATAACCCCAATATGACAATCATATGACCCTCATATGATCCCAATGTGACCCTTTCATGACCGCCATATAACCCCTATCGGGGATGCGAAATCACCGTCATTTTTGAGGACGCGTCATATGACCAAAAAATGATAGTCTTGTATGTTACGCACAAATTTCGTACTGAAAATGATAGTCGTAAATAATTTGTAAAGCAAATTGTTGAAATGCCATCTAAATAGATACATAATGACCGCCGTAACTGATTTATGATTTGTGACGGTCAGAAATGAAAAAATTAGTTCCCTCTATAGAGATGAAAAATTATCGTGATTTCAGTTCTGACACGCGCACGAGGGTAATGCGAAATGAATTCAAATCAAAATCGATGAAGAAAAAAATGATGTTGCATCTANGAGGGTAATGCGAAATGAATTCAAATCAAAATCGATGAAGAAAAAAATGACGTTGCATCTGTGTCGATGAAAAATGACCGTCATTTTTTCTCGACAAATTATGAGGGTCATAGAAAGGTGGGGGGAATTGGGACAGCTGTCATAAACGCCTCGTCTTATGACCGTCAAAAGACGAGTCATCTGACGCATTTGCACCGCTAACGCCCATATTACTTTCCTTTGAGTCATACGTCTGTCATATGACCTTCATAAGACCTCAACATGATCATCATAACTCTCATTTGATTCATATGACCCCCATACCACCCCTATACGACCTCAATATGACCCTCATATAAGTCTCCTACGACTCTAGCATGACTCATATGATTCTATATGACTCTCATATTACTCAGATTACCCTCATTGTGACCCTCATTGTGACCCTTATAACACTAATCATGACCGTTGTGACCTTTGTTTTCGAGATTTTATTTTTTATCTCGATTTTCTACCGTCAGAAGTCAATTTGCAGTAATTATCGAGATTTTTCAATAATCATTCATGCTAATAATCGTAAACGGCATATTATATGTTACAAAAATTATATTCAAACCCTTTTTTAAAGAATTTTTCTTCGGGGGGAGATAATTATGCACTCTAAACTGGCTCATTTTACCCACACGATCCATTTACCTCCTTCCCTCCTCCGCCCAAAAAATGTTGAAAGAAAAAAAAAAGTTTCGGGGTCCATTTTACGGTCTTAGTCTCCCCCCCTTCCCTAAAATGATGAGAGAAAAATTGTTTGGGATCCATTTTACCCACATGGTCTTATTTTCCCCCCTCTCCCCCTAAAATGTTGAGAGAAGAAAGTTTGGGGCCATTTTACCCACACGGTCTTATTCTCCCTCCTCCTCCCCCTACAATATAGAGAGAAAAAAGTTTGGGGGTCCATTTTACTCACACGGTCTTATTCTCCCCCCCTCACCCTAAAATGTTGAGAAAAAAAGTTGGGGGTCCATTTTACCCACACGGTCTTATTCTCCCCCCTCCCTCTCCCCCTAAAATGTTAAGAGAACAAAGTTTGGGGCCATTTTACCCACACGATCTAATTCGCCCCCCCCTCCCCCTAAAATGAGAGAAAAAAAGTATGGGGGTCTATTTTACTCACACGGTCTTATTCTCCCTCCCCCTCCCCCTACAATGCTGAGAGAAAAGTTTGGTGGTCCATTTTACTCACACAGTCGTATTCTCCCCCCTCACCCTAAAATGTTGAGAAAAAAAGTTTGGGGGTCCATTTTACCCACACGGTCCTATTCTACCCCCCCCTTTCTCCCCCTAAAATGTTAAGAGAACAAAGTTTGGCGGTGCATTGTACTCACACAGTCGTATTCTCCCCCCTCCCCTTAAAATGTAGAGAAAAAAAGTTTGCAGGTCCATTTTACCCACACGGTCCTATTCTCCCCCCCTCACCCCCTAAATTTTAAGAGAACAAAGTTTGGGGCCATTTTACCCACACGATCTAATTCGCCCCCCCCCTCCCCCCTAAAATGAGAGTAAAAAAGTATGGGGGTCTATTTTACTCATACGGTCTTATTCTCCCTCCCCCTCCCCCTACAATGCTGAGAGAAAAAAGTTTGGTGGTCCATTTTACTCACACAGTCGTATTCTCCCCCCTCACCCTAAAATGTTGAGAAAAAAAGTTTGGGGGTCCATTTTACCCACACGGTCTTATTCTCCCCCCCCCTTTCTCCCCCTAAAATGTTAAGAGAACANGGTCCATTTTACCCACACGGTCTTATTCCCCCCCCCCCCTTCCCCTAAAATGTTGCGAGAAAAAAGTTTAGGGCCATTTTACTTCCCCCCACAAAAAAAA